ACTTTCAGGATTACCCGAAAAAAATCTTAAAACGCGCTCTCTGATTTGTTGCCGATCAGGCACAGATCGGGAGTTCCATATTAGGGCACATCCTACTGTTTCCTGATCGGGTCATAGTAGGAAATTCCGTATTATGACATACCCTATCTTTTCCCGATCAGGTAAGGATCGGGAATTCCATATTATGGCATTCCCTACTCTTTCCCGATCAGGCATTAGTCATGCATCAGGCATTACCGATCTAATTTCTGCTCGGGTTGTTATCTAAAAGATAAATAAAAGAAATTAGGTAAAATTATTGAAATAATATCGCGACTCAGTCATATTATTAACATATTGAAATCACATAATTTTATCCATTTCGGTTAAAAATTTGGACAAGGTAATACTAATAAAATAATTTACATATATATATATACTCGTACAAATATGTTGGATTTATTTAGGATGGTAATAATCAAAGGTGAGAATAATTAGAGTTGATCGTGTGTGTGTGTTATTACAAATAAATTTATTTAAATTAAAGTATTTAAAATTCGGCGCAGAGCGTATTACTAAGATTAAGATTCAAATTGTGTAATAGTTACATTACAACGAAAAAACAAATAAAAAAAAATGTTCACTCCAAGATTGCTCCGCGCACAACGATATCTCCTAGGAATTCGAAGTCTTTCAGATTTTTTTCATTGCTATAATTAATGCTTGTCGCGATCGTAGAAGTATAGAACGGTCCTCTCCAAAACCTCGTAAGAGCGTTAGGGCCTGCGCACAATAGAGGAACAAAAATTAGATATTAAGATTTCAACCTATCAGAAACTGATTACATCGGAATACACGATTTCTGATAAGTTGAAATCTTAATATCTAATTCTTGTTCCTCTATTGTGCGCAGGCTCTTAGATAATATAATATATTATCTTATATTATATTATATATAATATACTATATAAGGGTGTTTAAAAATTTTTGCGATGCCTGTCAGGAGCAAATAGAACGGACCGAACTGAATCGAAAATTCTTATACCATTTTGTAGTTTACGCAATAGTTAACGAAATATTAACGTTTATAGATAGGCGAATAAAGGACCGCGACACAGACTTTTGCGTAAAGGCGCGGGTCCAATAGAGGTCCGTAAACTTAACCGTAAAATCCGTAACCGTAAGAAATCTCCCCCTATCGTCTCCAATGGCAGCCCGTGGCGGTAACATAACGTAACGTAACTAACGTAAAGAACTGTACTTGTATAATTGCGCGGAGTATTTTAACCTCTTTGCTGCTTGATATTTGAAGTTGTTTATTTGATTGTAGAAGTATATATTTATAATGAATTCTCTGCAACTTAAAAAAGCAGCTCTTGTGATTGTAAATTCAATTGAAATTATTTTGCAATTATTGCGGAGAAAAAAGAAAAAGACTCCAAAACGAAAATTTTGGGTTCGACCTATGTTATTACAACGGAAGAAAAAAGGTCATTTTCATACTCTCTTCCAATATATAAAAACCAAAGATCATGAGCAATTTTTTAAGTTCACACGAATGACTGTTTCGCAATTCGAGGAACTATTACAAATATTGCGAGAATCTTTAACGAAAAAAAGTATTCGTGAGCCTCTATCACCAGAACAACGACTATGTATTACTTTGTAGTAAGTATATAATTTATATATATAAAGTATTTTAGTTGTAATTGTCATTCTATTTCAATTACAGTTTCAGTGAAATATTTTATTTTATATTTAGTTACTTAGCCCATGGCTGCAGCATGCAAACTGTTGCATGGAACTTTTACGTGGCCAAATGTACAGTAAGCAAAATTATCCGTGATACATGCAGAATTATTTGGGAAAAGTTATCGCCGAAGTATTTGCCACGGTCTACTACAGAAGATTTTATACGATATGCTCAAGATTTTCAGGATAAGTGGAATATGCCAAATTGCATTGGTGCGATTGACGGAAAACACATCGTTATTCAATCTCTTTATAATAGTGGGAGCAATTTCATCAATTATAAAAAGACATTCAGCATCGTTTTATTAGCAGTTTGCGATGCTAACTACATTTTCACGCTTGTTGATGTCGGGGCTTTTGGCTCGCAAAGCGACGGAGGAGTGTATAAATCATCAGCTTTTGGAGAAGCAATGGATAATAACGAACTTGGTGTATCAGACGATACCAACTTATCGGGAACTGATATAAAGTTTCCATATTATTTAGTAGGTGACGAAGCTTTCCCATTGAAAAGCTACATTATGCGACCATATCCTGGAGCTAACTTGAATATAACACAGAAAATATTTAATTATCGTCTCTCTCGAGCACGTCGCGTAATTGAAAACTGTTTTGGGATTTTGGCTAGTCGTTGGCGAATCTTTAGATCGACGATTATTGCGGATGTCAATACCGCAGAATGGATTGTATGTGCTGCATTATGCTTGCATAACTTTCTTCGATTGTCAGAACTCTCAACAAGTCCAGAGAATGCTATGTATTGTTCTAAACGTCACGTCGATACAGAGGACCAACAAGGAAATGTAGTACGTGGAAATTGGAGAAAATGTGAAGAAAATAGCGTTTTCAAGACGATTGGAAGAATGGGAGCAAATAACGCTACACGCAAAAATATAAACTTACGTGATACGCTTGCTAATTATTTAATTTCTGCAGAAGGCGCAGTTTCCTGGCAAGAAACACATGTAACTAGAGGATCGTTTTAATAATGACTGATTTAACGCAGTTTACACTGTACAATTTTCTATCGTATGAATAAAAAACAAATACTGATTCATGCTTTCATTTTCGAGAATATGTATACTTTTTATTTCAAACCGCTCACAGTAAAGGAATAATTGTATTTGAATGTACTTCAAAATTATCTTTATTGATAAAATGTCTTCCAACTAAAATTATAAGTAAAATTTTTTCAAATTACAAGAATGCTTCATTAAATGCTATAAATGACAAAAATTGCACTTCATTAACTGCTACATAAAAATTGTAATGCATAACTGAAACATAAAGTACTTTACTTTTTTTAAAGAAAACAAAGTTTTATAAAATTCATTTCAAGTTCTTAATAATAAATTTAATTTGTGTTAATAATAAGGTAAAACAAATACATTTCATTCAGTCAGATTCGAGTTCTAACATAATTGAACTGATCCTGCTACGAGCAATTTTTTGCTTTGCTTTAGACATTGTTTTCAACTGACTGTACGTCATTATACAAAAATTGTATGCTACATCATCGCACTTGCCCGTTGATTCACACAGTTCTTTTACATTTTGCAAGGCTCCTGAAATTGCTAAAATAGCAGCATCATCCGCATTTTTTTCAACCTTTCTGGCTTTTTTTGCTTTTTTACCTCCATCATCAGTAGCAAACTGAAGACATGAATTCTTCCGATGTTCAGTGTTTCTATTATTTTTTTGTAATGGCTTCGTCAAGTCTATCAAATGGCCTTCTGAATCACTTATTTCTTTTTTAATTTCAATTATGTTATCATTTTCTTTATTTTGGATAGTTCTTAAATATTCAGCTACATCTGGATCGTTAGTCTCTACTGTCTCTACTGTCTCCCAGCAGACGGAGTCTTCTTCAGATAGTGACACACTTTTTTTCATAATATTTCCACGTGTCCTGTCACAACATTAAAAATCAACTTTTTTTTCAAATGTGCATTATATATCGCATTCGGTACATATAATATATTCACTGCAGTTACCAATTGACATAATCAACTACAGTAATCCAATCTTCATTGATATAATACATCATAAATGTTATTAAGATCCTTCACAGGACATTACCTTCTAGTTTGTACATGTGGTTCTAGAAATAGAAGACTTTTGTACAGAGTACTAGGAGATAGTAAATTCGAGGACCCTGAGCCGGATGGAAGTCCTGCTTTCAAAGATCGCCTCTCACGAGCAAAACGTTCACGTAATTGGCCCCATCGGTATTGGCAGGCAGTAACTATAGAAGAACATAAATAATACTGTTATTTGCTAATATTGAACCAAACAAATAAATCATTATAATATGTATAATACATACCTTCTACGTTCAACGTTTTGGCGATGCTAGACCATGAATTTTGGGCCTTGTTTCTATCTTTATAATCTGGACGGCTTTTCGCATAGAGGTTAGGACATTTCTCCACTAATTGAATTAAATTTAAATCGAAAGATTCCATTTCGCGTGTTTGTTTAATATTTACTGCACCAATCTATAATCAATAATCCAATATTATTTATTTGCTGCACCGATCTATAATCAAATTTAATCTAACCTAATCTCTTTCCGTAACTGTAACCGTAAAAGTTCAAATATTGCAACTTTTAAGGTTACGGTTACGGACGTTACGTTACGTATATTACGGTTACGTTTACGGATCCCTATTGTAAATGATCCTTAATGCATAAAGCATAACGCATAGCGTAATATGTAGCAACGCACAAGCTTGTACATAAGCTTGTACTATTTGGAATGTCTCAATTGGAAATAAGATAATAGTATATAATTATACAATACCATTATATTATATAATAATTTTGTAAATAATGACAAATACGTCATATTCCTATCTGGGATGTCTAAACGTACTTATCTATCACACGGTTCGAGGTTAGAACAGACTAAAATGAGAGCATTCTTCGTATTCCTGCTGCTTAAGATGTCTGCATAGCATAAAAAGTTCGTCTTTAAGGCCGCAGCACACACTCTTGCATAACGCATGATGCATAGTATATAAAGGAATCAATCGATCAAAATTCTTCTTTTCCATGGAATGAGAGGAAAGGAAAGTTTCTGATTAGTTTATTCGCTTATGCACTATGCGTTATGCAAAAGCTTGTGTCTGGGCTCTTAAAGCTATAGCACATGAAATGCATAACAGAGCATAAGCATAAGACTGCTGGACCAATGAGCATCTAGCATTATGTCGCCATATTGATTTACATAAGATGCTCATTGGTTTAGTAGCCTTATGTTATGCTTATGCTCTGTTGTGCATTTCATGTGCGATAGCCATTAGGGCTGCCGCACACACCTTCCGTAACAGTAACCATAAGACGTACCATAAGAATTAACCAATCACAGTCGAGAATTC